TAGAATACGGGCGAAATCTAAGCGATGCAAAATGAATTAAAAGTATGTTCTTATTAATTATGCTCCATTATCACAAGTATGAAAACTTCGTTATGTACAGCGGGTTTGTATTTATTTTTTATAGCTCGCATGTATTAATATTATTGTAAAACGTGGTTCTCGACCATCAATTCCTTTTCCGAGACTGTTGTGCCAATTCTTGTGATAGCGTCGTCCATCAGTCAAGATGTTAGCTTCATCCTTATGAATTTGAGGAGTGCGAGTTGACCTATTTTCGTGATGCAGAGGTGAAAATATTGTTGCGTACTTCCTTCCTCTTTACATTCTCTTTCTATCTCTATCATTTTCTGCTTACACTATTTCTTATGCATCACGTATTTTAACTCAAAAATAATGTATGTGATACCACGTGAATTTTATTGAAATTAATTATTATATGTAAATTTTTATTAGATTAAAAAATGACATAATGGAGAATTGGTTTAACGTGTAAACACATTTTATATCACTGGTCACAGCTATAGAATTTTAGATATTTAGCACTTACTTTTGCCTAAGTTCTCAATCGTGCTAATTTTTTTGCATTAATTGACTCGGAGTATCGGGTTGCTCTTCTTTTCTTTCTATGTTTAATAAACTCCTCTCGTGTTGAATTGACACATAACTATATATTAATGATTAATTGATGTGAACGTATAAAAACATAAAATGCAGATAATGTATGCAAGTACTTACAGCCCACTTAATTACAGCCTCATACATCCATACAAAGTTTGGCATATCAATCCAATCTTTCGGTATTCCGAAATGATCAATCTCAAACAACCTATGAACGCCTGAAGTTGAATGTGTTAACTTCTCGGTTGTGTACAGCATTTCAAGTGCAAATTTACATAATACTTACTGCGAAAATCCATCATTGTGAGTGACACTTCTGTTTTAAATGCAGTCAGGCCGTATATTTTCAGGTTCGTAAAAAGCTGGTGACGAGAATCAGCTTCTGCTATTACAATATTGTTGTAAAGCGCTTTCATGCTTTTGGCATTTTTATCATCGTCATCAATGCTTTTTTTCTGGGATGCTCCTGGTCTAGCCCCCTCGCCACAGATGATAGGATAGTTGACTACGTCATTAAGGAACCCTACACCATCAGCTCGTACTTTGGTCTTAAGGGCTTTCAAAGGTATTTCTCCACTATATGAATATGCAAACATTTAATAATAACGTAATATATGTAGATACATAAATTCAAAGCAACTTACTGTATGTAGTTCACTTTAGCGAAAATCCATAATGCCGAGTCAATTATGGGATGCACGAACTGATTAAGGTGTGGTTTTTCAAGGATTGTCATATCCCTCAAGGGATTGAGACCTGCCAACGAAAATGCTTTTAAACTGGAAGGAGCGGTATAAATGTGAATAATAAATTCAGAAAAATGAATTATGTAAGTCTTCTTTGTCCTTACAATTTTGGAAGAGTTTCTTTTATCAGCTTCTTGGTTTTTTCGAATCATCATTATTAATGGTCATATCATCAATGGCTTCAGCCCAGCCTCCTGCACTTCGGTCTTCATTGAAAAATATGACGAGAAAATCATGAATCTCATCTGTTACGTATCCGTTATCAATTGGATCAAAAATTTCGTGCAATATTTCCATTTGAAGCTTCGAATCCAGAGCTAATGAAAATTCTGTTCTTGGGCGTAAATCCATAATTGTAGTAGTAGAAAAGTTTTTTAAGAAAAATTCTGCAGTAGCCTTTTCAACAGTCGAAGCTGTCATCGAGTCCTCAAGTATGCTTTTTACGCATATCATCTATACAAATGGACAAAAAAATCGCCTTTTTACTAAAATACTGATAGAAATATCATAAGAGTAACTTACACTACCTTCTCATTTTCATCTACTTTAACTTCATCTTGTGTACCCTCAGTAGTCTGTTCTATGCTTATGTTTCCACCATCTACTTGCGCACTTACTCCTTCTTCCCTTACAACTTCGACAATTGAGTTTTTAATGACTTCATTGTTATGATCCTGTGAACCAAGGAGTCACAATGAACATATTGTATTAATTCACATTCAATTTGAAGATGAGATGTCATATTTACCACTGCGAATATTTTACTGGTTTCTTTTACTACCACTATTTTATCCGTAATAACACTTTTTTCAACATTTGTCGCGTAATGTTTCTATGATAATGCATCAAATTAACATTTTAACATTCTAGAAAATTCCGATAATGGATGGAATTGTTAACAAACCTTAGCAAATTTAACATCTTGTTGGTCTAGGAATTCATTAATATCTGTGCGAGTTAGAGTTTGCTTCAAAGATTCGCAAAGTTTATTAGCTTTATTTCGTGCCGCCTTTTTGACATTGTCGTCGTTGGATTTTCCGATCAAATGTCGCTTGAAGATATCAACGATCTCTTCTATACTTTCACTTGTGTATTCCATATTCTCAGCCAAATATCGTAGAACTCCAATTAAACTCCATTCGGCAGATTGCTTTGACTCGAGATAGTTCACAATATTCTTTTCAAACTCCATTCTTAAGGTTAGAAATTGATAAATTTCTCTGAAGATTGTGGGAGAGATTTAAGAAATTTTTACGTCTTGGATAGTAAGTCATTTGTTTTTCAAGGAAAAAAAGAAGGAAAACCTATTTAATAACTGGCTTGACATAATGCTTTCTGGTAAAGAAACCAAGGCTTGAACTACTAAGAGGAAGTCCAACGAACCACGTCAAAGAGGGTATCCTACGCATCTCTTTACCAAACATCAGCCGCAGGAGTCACAAGGCGTTGAACACTTAGATAAGCGCATACGGGCGTAGGAAGCATTACGTCACAATATACTAGAGACAAGAACAAGGCTTGAACTACTAAGAGGAGGTTCGTCCAGCAGGTGAACCGCGTCAAAGAGGATATCCTACGCGTCTCGCTCCAAACAAAAGCCATAGGAGTCGCCAAGCATTAAGTACCTGGCTCAGCCATATGGGATGCCGGATATCGTGGGTTGCCAGAGGTAACAGGTAAACGAGATAACAGGTAAACAACTATCAAACTTACCTTACCGTAAAAGTATGTCAAGTTGTCAAAGTTGAAAAATATTTGGTGAAAAAGGCGTCAGAGAAATAAAATGTCTCTATCATTGATCGCTACCTAATTAGGGAAACGGGAACCCGTCATTAAATCCGTGTCCCTTGTCGCCGAAGAATAGGGGCTGTGCGACGTGCGAATCGCATATATATTCAAAAAATTTTTTTTCCTTTCCCGACCCGTAAATACGAATATTGCAACTATGTAAATAAGCAAATATAACGGGCATACTCACTGCGTATCTCAGTGTGAAAAAGTGCCAGTGAAACGAAAGTTACTTAGCGAAGTATCGGACGAGACATTACGCAATTAAGGGTAGGTTTACTTTCGGTTTAGGCTGAGCATTTGCAAGATAGCGTCTTCAGAGCTTGTAACTAATACATAGTTTCCCTTTCAAGGTTCTCGTTAGCGTCACGACCGATGAAACGTAGGTTAGGATGAAAAACAACGAATATAGCGGGTTACTAGGTGGTGGATAGAATAGACGCAATGAACAGGATAGTCTATCATGTATGAAGCGGGTCCCTTTAAGACCGGGGCATAGAAAAAATCGTCATGTATCATGGACCAAGTTCCGCATCATGTAATTTATTTTTAGTGGTCCCTTTGCTTTCGCGCCTTTGGCTAGGATCAGGCTCAATGTATTGCAAATAAAAAACGTTTAGGGTACTAAGTGACCCGCAAAATGAAGTCAATTATTTTTCTCGTGTGGGAGGTGATTGGTGTGGATTCCTCTGGAATCTACATACTAATTTTTTTATTTAATACAGGGTAATTTAGAAAATCTGGATCGGCTAATTATTGGGCAATATGATTTCCAGCGAAGATCCAGGGACTT